GTGTGTGTGTGTGTGTGTGTGTGTGTGTGTGTGTGCGCGTGTGCCCGATATCTGGCTGAGCCCTCATCAAAAATGGTCTCAGTGGAGGAGTGAATTTCAAGAAGCAATTCTTAAGGAAGGAAAACGGAGAAAACGTTGAGGTATGCTAAATTACATAAGAACTGGACTGAAAATCAGTGGTAAGAGGTCTTGTGAAGTGATGAAACCAATTTTTTTTTAAATCATTGTTAATATGTAGAGAAGAAGTCAGGAAAAAGGTGCAACAGCGTGTACAGCCATCTGTAAAACATTATAGAGACTCTGTCATGGTTTGGGACTACAATTCAGCCACTGGTGTTGTGATCATGTCAAAATTAATGGACTTATTAACACAGAAAAGTACCATAAGAGTTTGATCCACCACGCAGGCATCTTGAAAACATCTGATTTGTAGGGGCTTCAGCATGACAGTCATTTCAAACACACTGCCAATGCACTAAAAGTATATCTAGATAGAAAAACATACAGTGGAACACTATCAGCTATGGCGCGACCTCCCTGGAGTCTGCCCCTCAACAATATTGAAGCAGTGTGGAATCATCTTGACAGAGAATGGAAGAAAAGGCCTTTTCTTCCGGCTGCCAACATACAAAGAAGAGTTTTGGATGTCCTTCAAGAAGCCCAGAGAGCTATTCCTAAAGACTACTTACAGGAATTACAAGTTTTCCAAAGATAATTCAGGCTATGTTAAAGAGAAAAGCTGGTCATACAGAATACTAACTTAGTATTTAGTATTAACTAACTTAACTCAGGCTTACTGGAATTGTACAAACTCGTTTTTTTTACACTGTTTATTGTATTTCTGTGTGTGTTTGCAGATGTTTAAAAAATTGTTGCATCTATTTTCCCAGCAAAATGTAAAGAAATGAGAGGTGGCTCAAGAGTTTTGCACAGCAGTTCATGTACACCAATGTTGCTTGAAAGCCTCTCATCATTGGAGTAATACATCTATTGAGGAAATACCTAATCATTTATTTATCTAGAAATGGCATAGAGTATACTGGAATCAGAATCAGACACTGAAATATCCACCAAATACATTTTAAGGTTCATTAAAATAAAAGAGATTTTTGCAGCGCAGCTCCCTGTGACATGTACTGTTAACAGTACTGTGCGCTGCATAAAGAGGACAGAATACATGATTCATACCCTGTGTTTAAGAAGGTAAAGGGAGAAAAAAGCGCAAGGAATTTGCAGTTGCTTTATTTCTTTTGTGCTACATTTATTTTGAAATTCAGCACATGGAATATAATACTTCCAGGGTTATATAATTAAAAGTTAACAAAATTAGATGATAAATATGGCACATAGCTAGCATTTGCCATGAAGATACATTTAGCAGAGCATTAATGCAAAACATATTTCATTGTAAATATGAGTTCTTCAAAGCCCAGCTAACTGAAGCTACGAGCCTACATTTGCTTCACACTAACTGATATAAGCAATATACACGTACAGTATTTGCTACAACTTCGTAATATAAATACCCACCTTAACTGGCACTCTCACAACAACTGTGTACTTTTATTATCCATCCAGAGGCACATGACACATGGAGAGACAAACCAAATTGATTGCATAGAAGCATATCTGTGACAGAACAGCGCAGTCCCCTTTGTTTGAGTAGAAGGAGGTGGGCTTGATGTAAGGCCAGTCAAAGTTCCTCAGGTTCAGTGACCTTTGACAGTACCGGTCACTGAGGGCAACCAGGGCACGCACCATAGCATATTTGGCTGAGCAGCTGATGGCCGTCACTGTACGCACCTCGTCGAAGTGCAGCAGGAAACAAGGGTCATCCTGAAACCAAAGAAAATTATATTTATGGAGCACCTTTAAGAATCACTGCATTTTTTTATTGTGTTTGTTCTGTAGAAAGCTTACATTATTATAGGGCAACTAAAGCCAAATGACCATAGACCATTCATCTTTACCTTACATTTTATTTTATCTTAATGTGTATACACCCCTGTGTGTGTATATGGGATACATACAGTGCTTAACAAATTTATTAGACCACTTGTCATAAAAACAAGAAACCACCAGTATTTTAGAAATCTGTCAAAAACGTGTTTAAAACTAAAAGTTATATTATTATTTATTAAGCAAACACAAAATTTGTTTTCACATTTTTATATTTGAAAAATGCCGGTACACTGGACTTCTGCATAACATTCAATCACTAAACCTTTTCTGTTTAGGAAAGCAATCACTGTAATTTGCCATCTTAATAAAATAAAATAAAAAATTAGTGTGCTTTAATATAAATCACGGATGAAAATAATAATAGCAACAGCAATTTTAGCATTAAAAATATCATTTTCATTAAGGAGCTTGTTACTTACTGGTAGATTAAACATTCCAGAAACATAAAAAATGACATGGATAATTACAAATACTGTTAATTTAGTGCAGCTGTGGCATAAACAGAACATTATGGTGGTGGTCAAAGTGCAGTGACTTGGTGCAGCAGTTTGGTTGGTGAAAACTGTGTTTAAATGCACTTTATAAATACATTTTAATTACTTAGTTAATAGGTACTGATAAAGCAAAATGTCCACAGAATTATTATTATGTGTTCTATGTGGTCATCAAGAATGCCATCCACATACAGTTACCCAAAAGACAGTTTGTCTCTATTTTAGCCAGTTAAGAACAATGGAAGTTACAGAAGAATTTGGCTAATTACCACGTCAGGATTTCTTCCATCAATCAGGGTAAGGTCTTTCAGGGACCAGATCTCTGCCCTCCGGTAGCACTCTTGTATGCAGGAGCGTTTGGTGAAGGATCTCTTGGATGCAGACTTTAGGGGCACAGACATCTGACAGTGCACTATACATAGCTGGACTTCTTTGTTTTTTGCAACTGCGGAAAAATGGAAAAACATCACAAACAGGTGCACTGCAGCACCGGGCTTTTCATCAGCAAGCCAGCCTTATAGATTTAACACACCCTGTGTGGTGCAGGTATACACAGCTTTTAAGGAAGTAAGTTATTAAACACATTAAAAATGTACATTTTAAGGAGGAAGATATTTACTCCTGTGTAAAAATCAAACGCATATTTCTGAGTCAACAATCAAGCTGTTTACCTGAGGCACAGAAAAAATGTCTTCCGTGCGATGGCTCTTCAATTTCAATGAACTCCACCAGTCTCTCTTTTGCAGGTCGAAACAAAACTCTCTGCATCTCCTCCCTCAGAAGAGACGACATCACTGGAGAGAGGGGGAGAAGAATCGGAGCGTCCCAAAAAACAGCAACGGCAAGAAGGGGAACCAAAGAGAGCGAGAGAAACTCAAAAGAAAGGAATGAGATATCCCCCCCAAAAATACCGTGACACTGGAGAACCCTGGAATCCAGCAGTGGCGGGAGGGGAGGGAAGTGGTGATGCTCCCCGTGCCCAGACCTTCTGAAAGCATGCAGGGTTTGTGGGTTGGTTCTGTGTGAAATAAGCTCTTACTCTACCCACAAATGCACGCACACACACACCGTCCACTCTGGATTGGCATGGTCTGATGATGTATGTTAATCTTTGATTGAAGTGCTGCATTCATACCAACTTGCCCAGGAGGGAGTGAGTAGAAAGGGGGCAATAAGAGGCCAAGCTCTTCATCATTTGCGTTTTTATTGCTTCAATTAAGATCCATTATGTTATGACGGTTTCCTGCAAATATGGATTTCACTCTTGCATTTGTAGCTGACAAAAATATCTTAGATACTGTTTGTATATCATGGTTGGATAAGCATTTGAAATGTATATTTAGCATTAATTATATATGATCAGTAACTAGGGGTGTGTGTGTGTGGGGGGGGGGGCAGCTCTTCTCATATAAGATCAATGTTTTTTTGTACATGTTCCCTGGCAGATGGAATATTAACTAACTGCGGTTCCATGTGGTTGCATGGCTCCATTGCAGCGCACATGTAACAGACGGTCTCACTTTTTTTTCTTTTTGTGGTCTTTTGGCCTCTTCTCCACTCACTCACATATAGACACTGATACATATTGTGGCAAACAGCCCAGTGTTTGTCCGTGATTAAACGGTTGTTGTGTGGGAAACGGATGTCCCACAGCACTCTGCATGGTTTCCATTACCGTGTAGTAATTCAATCTCTGACAATATGTACAAGTACAGTGAAGCACTTAAATGGGGAGATGAGGGGTGGGGAGGTGGGGGTGATTTTTATAAGCATATAAAGGAAGCTGCTCTAGTGATCATGGCTCCACAAGGTAATTTACTAGACATGCCAGGCTGTGGAGGACATCATTTTGCACCTATGAACGAATCCCAGCTGTTGACAGATTTGTCAAAACATTGTGGGAGGACTTCTCTACAGGCCAAAACCACCCCAGAATGAACCAGACCGGAGCTCTGATCCAATTTGTTAGCACTAAAAAGTGTGGCTCCATTGGATTTGTCACATTTATGAAAACAAAAATGGGTCGCTCCTCTGCTAAGTGCTTTATTGTTGTTGTTGTTGATGGTTTTTGTGGGTGTTCGCTTGAAAGGCTTTTTGCCTCTGAGATGGAAAAATGAGCGGAGAGGCAGGAAGTATAGGGAGGAAAGCAAATACATACAAGTGTTGAATCTTATGAATAACACATGAGGTTTTTTTGTACTTACTTATCATTGATTTATCCCAGTATATATGACACATACATTGAAAAGATTCATATTTGCACATTTGCTGGGGTAATCCAAGGTTTAGAGTTTTTTGGGGGGCGGGGGGGTTGCAGCATGTGCTGGAATACACAAGTGCACGTAAGAAGAAATGGAAATCATTGGGATAAAACAGCTATATTACTGTTAGAAGGTAACATGGGGGGAGTTTGGAGTGTGATATGCTTAATTGAACAAGACAAAGAGATAATGAATAGAATGGAACATATAGCAACAAGGATGAGGAAATCAACTATGTGATGCTGGAATCCTAAATAATGAAGGCTGGGGCGGAATGAAAAGAAGAAGGAATCAGCTGAAGACGCAAGGAATGAGATGCAATAAAGTTACTGAGGAACCCACAAGGTGATTGACACGAAGGGTGCAGAACAAGTGTTAAAGTGGAACGCTGGAGAAAGCAGGAAGCAAGAAGGAAGACAAAAGCAAGAAAGAAAGAAGGAACAGAACACGTTGAGTAAAGGAAACCCAGAATGTGAACGCGACAAGAAGAGATCAATTACAGAATGACTGAATCGTGCATAATATGCAGGGGTGCTGTGTGAGGGAAAAAGCAGAAAGGAGAGAAAATAATAGATAGGAAAATGTGGATAATCCTTTAGAAAGCAGATAAGGACTAATCTCAACGTACAGTGAGGAAAGTGAAAGTGATGACAGAGAGGAAAGTGGAGGAGAAGTTGGAGTTCAGAAGAAGGAGCTTGACAGCGGGAATAAGAAGCTGAGAGACTGAGAAAAATGAGCCCAGGCAGGAGGAATGAATTAATGAGATATAAGAGAGCTCAAGAAATAGTCCAATATACATACCACATTCTATGAATTATAATTATAATAACAACAAGAGCACTCAGAGAATGCAACACCCCCGGAATAGCAAGGGCTATACTAAAACTCTTTTATGATGTCTTTCGTTTTATGATGTTTTGATTACAGTACGATGACAACGGCTGATTATGGCTTCATTGTGACGCCTCAGGGCGTCGCATTGATCAAATAAAAAGTGTGTTGCACAGCTCTCCCCATGCCCTTTCATATGACACATTACTCAATATGGATTCTTCAAATTTGTTTTACAAGGTCAACTTTGACCTAAAATGCTAATGAAGGTCAACCCAAGTACTCATGTCTCCGAAAGGCTTCATATATTATTGTGAGGTTTGACCCATAAAAATGTTATTACTTATTTCCTCCTTTGCTCTGATCTTTACAGAATTTTCAACAAAATGATATCATCTTGAGCTGTTACTGGTATCTACCACTGCACAAAATTTGAAAAAATGATATCTTGAAAACTGTGGATGCTACGCTTCAAACATACAATTACATACTCCCTGCCTTCGAGGGGAGAATAAGTATTATTATTTCAACAGTTGTAACAAAAAAAATTCTTAAATTTGGGATTAATAAAGTATTTATTTTGCATAAATAGAAGGTAACTCAGTTTAGCTCGTTATTTTTTGTCATTTGGCTTTTTCATCAGTTCAGTTTAACGTCATCATTGTCAAATATAAAATTCCATCCATCCATCCATCATCATCATCTTTTGCTTATCCGTGGCCAAGTTGCGGGGGAGAGATATAATCTCTCCAGCGTGTCCTGGGTCTCTCCCGGGGCGTCCTCCTGGTGGCACATGCCCGGAACACCTCACCAAGGAAGCGCCCAGAAAACATCCTTATCAGATGCCCGAACTACGTCAACTGGCTCCTTTCAATGTGGAGGAGCAGCAGCTCTACTCTGAGCCCGTCCTGGATGGGCTGAATTGCTTGACCTATCTCTGAGGAAGAGGCCAACCACCCTTCGGAGGAAGCGCATTTCTGCCGCTTGTATCCGTGATCTCATTCTTTCAGTCAGTACCCACAGCTCGTGACCATGGGCGAGGGTAGGGACGTAGATCGACCGCTAAATTGAGAGCTTTGCTTTTACACTCAGCTCCCTCTTCACCACAACGGACCAGTACAGTGTCTGCATCACGGCAGCCGCAGCATCAATCCGTCTGGCGATCTCCCACTCCCTTCTTCTTTCACTTGTGAACAAGATCCCGAGATACTTAAACTCCTCCACTTGGGGCAGGAGCTCATCCCTGACCTGGGGTGGGCACTCCAGCCTTTTCCAGCTCAGGACCATGGCCTCAGATTGATTGATTTTATGATTGTTTGCGCTGTGAAAACCATTAATGGATGATTGTTTTTATGTTATGTCTTATCATAGCATGTCGTTTTCACCCGGAGGCATTAGTGAGGAATGAGTAATGGACACAGTTACGCTGAATGAAGTCAGCGTGATTAAGAGACCATCAAACTGGTGCATTGCTCATATGGAAGAAAAGGGCAGGTGGACTAGCAGAGACTTGCAGGAAGGGAACATGATAATTGTTTAATTTAGAGGTACTTTTGGTTGTAAAATTATTAAAGTTATAAAAAAAAATTTTCCTCTGTTTTTTTCATGTCTCAGAATTGAAATCTTTACTCCTGTCATAGAGTTGCTCATAGAAAGGTTTTCACAGGTTTATTTCATAATTTCTTTTTGGTTTTCTTTTTTAGTTTTAAGAAAATATTGCATGTATGTAAATTATGGGTGACACAATGATGGAGTGGTTAGCACTGTCACCTCAGCCAGGTTGGAAACTCAAATAATGGCTTTCATGAAATTGTGTGGTGTTTGCAAGCTCTCCCTGTGTCGGCGTGGATGATAATGTGCTTGTAGAGGAAGTGAACGGGGATGGGTTTAAATACCTGGGATAAATGATTCAAAGCAATGGACAATGTATAACAGAGGTGAAGAAGAAAGTGCAGGCAGGATGGAGATTGTGATTGTATGGGTGATTTGTAACAAACCAAGAGGAGCATAAGTGAAAGGGAAGGTTTACAAGGTGATAGTGAGACCTTCTATGGTTTATGGTTTGTAGACTGTGGCACAGAAAGAAAATCAGGAGGGTGAGCAGACACGGCAGAATTGATCATTGGGACAGCTCAGTTTGAGTGGGTTGGAGACACAGTTAGAGAAAAGGCTCAGATTGTTTCCACATGTGCAGAGGAGGGATAGTGGATGTAAAATATGGAGCTGCGAGGCGAAAGTAAAGGAGGAAGACCACAGAGAAAGTTCGTGGATGTAATGAAGGAGGACATGCAGAGGGCTGGTGTGACAGAGAAGACTGCTATAGATAGGGAGGCAGATGATCTGCTGTGGTGAACCCTAAAGGGAGCAGCTGAATAAGAAAGAAAGAAACAGCAGAATAAATGCACAGAACATAGCACTGTATGAAAGTTATATATGAGTGAATGAGCTTATGGTACTGTTGGATTAAAAAAAATACTTTATTAAGTTTGAGCAAGTAACAAAGAGTCTGACACACATCCAAAAGAATGACCAGCCCACCCAACATCCCACTGCAGTCCTATTACATAGTTAGCAAATTCACAAACATAAATAAATAAATACGTTAACTTGTCATCAACAGCCATCAAGCTAACAATCAGAGATTCTGGGATATTACCGAGTACTCCAGAAGCAAGTATTTAAAGCCAGAAGGTGGATAGTGT